AAATCTTACTTCCATCATCTGGACAAAAGTTTAGAAACACATGTCTTCACTTAATATACATGTTATTTAGCATTTCCGATTAAAACAATTGAAACTCATGATAACATTTTCAAATTTCTTTAAACTTTATATATTAAAAATTATATCAGTTTATAGCTTGGGTTCACAATCATATAGTGCGCACAGCCTAAATACTCTTATTGTTGCGCCATGAGGCCAGATTTGATTCATAAAAGTTTGTATATACCGTGATAATAATTTGCCGTAGTTCACAACTTTGATATTCTACTATCTGAATTCATATTCCATACCTAACTTAAAAATAACTAAAGAAATAGTTTTGATGGTTTTATCACATTCTCCATTAGCAATTGTTCTGCCATCACAACTCCAATCGACAATACTGATCCAATCAATATGTGTATTATATTCTCTTAGATGAACTACTGGTTTCTTAATATCCCATTTCTTAATTAAATAATAATTTTGGCAAATGCAGCAGCAAGTTCATATTGAATTAAATTGCACACCACGAACGCCTTTACACCTTCCTTGAAATGTATTCATTGTCTTTTTTAAATCTCTAAGATCTTAAATAAATAAATAAATAAATAATTTTGTATTTAATTATTTTATTTGTTAACATATTTATATAATAGATCAGAAACACTTACCAACAATTTCATAGTACAATCTTGTGAGGCACTTAACAATAATGAATCTTGCAACACTAAACTCATAAAGGCCTGCTGTTTCATCTCTATCACGTTTACTGTTAATGTTGGATATTGATGAAGGAGATTTGGTTTTAATTTTTTTTGTCAGACTCATTACTTTGTCTCTAGCACATTCACTGATAATATTGGATGTTGATGAAGGTGAGTTGGTTTTAATTTTTTTGTTAGACTTGTTATTTCAGTACATTTACTGTTATGAAGATGATTTGGCTTTAATTTTTTGTTAGACTCGTAAAGGTCTGTTATCTCATCTCAAGCACGTTTACTGTTAATGATGAATATGATTTGGCTTTAATTAGACTCATAAAGGTCGGTTATTTCATCTCTATCATATTTATCGTTAATTTTAGACGTTGATAATGGTGTAGATGCAGACATTAGTTTGTATGAAATAGGACATAGGCCACACACTTAAAGTATGTTATTGGTTGAAATCTAATTTTTTTATGATTAATTAATATTTGCCTTTTTTTTCGCTGAAAAACTTGTATATAAATTGTACCTACTCATTGAACATGTTTATCATTGTATAAATAATACCTTTTGTTATTTCTATTTTTGATATATGAATAATAATATCCTTCACGAGGGTTATCACCTTTATGAACCAATGCAGAATTAGATTATAATGAACATTTTTACCCTTTTATGATTTGTATTTAATTAGTATTATGTTATAATGCATTAGATATAATTATTAATTATTTACCCCAAAAATATATTTCGGAATGTCTAGCACCTCTCTGAATTTCACATGATTTAGGATCTTATCATTCTCGTTTCTCAGACTTGGAGAAGCTGAACCTTTTCAATTGCGCTATAAGAATATTCAGCTCTTATTTGGGGCATGCTGCAACAAAACCAGACAAAGTGAACATTGGGTATTCAGGGATCAAAATTTAGACATTATTATCACAATTGCACTGTAATTATAAGTCCCAATTTGTTACCTTAAGTGATATATAGAATTATCCCTATAAAAATAGTTAATATGAAACTCATTTACACTAGGTCTACCATGGATGGAATCCAAGAATTACAGTACTATTAGAAGTATTTTGAATACATGAAGTCAAAATGTTTTTGGATAGTTGAAATGATTTATGGTCAAAGTGATTTTATTGGTCAATTAAATTAAGATTTTTGTACCAATTTAAATAAATGGCATTATATGAGAAAAAAGGATGATAAATTGACCAATAAATGCAGAAATAAAGATGATAAAAAAAAAAATAATACAAAATCTTCAATATTAATAGAACAAGGTAAATGTCACCTGCTCTTATATGCAATTCATCATAAAAGTTAATTTTTAGCTTAGAAACTATATTCACTTTGCTTAATAAAATTCTTATTTTTTTTATTTTATTAAAATCATGATTTGTCTTGTTTCTATTGCATATTGGGCTTGAAATACTATAAAATTGTATAAATTGTATACAAAAGGATCAGACATATACAGCTTTGGGGTGATAATAACATAGAAACGTATCACGGGAAAACCTTTTTCCATGATAGACTACATGATCATCACCTTATTATATTTTAAAAATAAATAATGACAGTAATTCAAGATAGTAATAAAACCCAAAATGAAAGAAACAAATTCCATATTATATTCTAAAGAATGTATATGCAAAGGTTGTGGTAGTGATTATACTTGTGAGTACTCGAATGATCTGCATGAGTATCTGGATACTCATGAGTAAATCCAAATATCCCTGTTGTGAGTACAAACACTAGGTTGTGGTTAGAAATGAAAAGTAGGGAAACATATGAGACGCTACACTGTCCTAAAGCAGATACTTGACATAATTTTTTTTTTTTAGAAGAGATAAAAAATCGGAGGACATTTAAAAATAAATAGTTGATTGAAAGTTACCTTGATCTCACAGAACAAGAGTTATGGAAAGTATTAGAAGTTGAAATAAGGGTAGATGTTGAGAAAGAAGAATTAATTATAATCATGGTGGCAGTGATTTGATGTTGATGAATGTTGAATTCTCTATGCCCATAAGATAGATCTATTGAGGATAGAACTGAACATGTCTTTAATTAATGGTTTTTAAATTTTAATAAATAAAGAACCACACAGTTTCCAATAAGTTACCGCCTTTGGGCCGCATAACAAATGAAAAACTGTCATAGAACTTAGCTCGCCTTTGGGCTGCAGCGTTGTTCCGTCTTACCTGTCTAACCTTATCGCAAAGAGGCTATCCGCCTTTGGGCCGCAATAGCATTTGACATATAAGGTACACCAGAGGAACTATATCGCCTTTGGGCCGCACATAGCTCATGGGTGTGCAGCTCTGGCCTCCTCGCCTTTGGGCCGCAGGAGGGAACAGAACCGAGCTGAATATGCGCTAAATAAAAACGCAATCAGATTTTCTTGTCCTGAAAAATATTTTGTTGCAATGATGTTTGATTAAATATTGTATCATTGACTCTTTCCCTTTCTCCAAATACTTCAGCTGGGATCTTTCTAAATTAGTCTGAGTTTCCCTGATCATTTCTAAAGATGGCTCTGCAACTAGGGAGTTGCAACTCATGAGGTTGCAACCAGTTGCAGAATTCCAAATCAGTTGCAGGTGCCATTATTTTACCTTTTCAGCTGTTGGTTTATTCTGCCTTTGTCTTTCTGACAGTATTATCCCCATATTCTTTATGTCCATTTCTGGTGTGACTAAAAAATTTTCTGTGAAAGTGACACGAATGTTACAACTTCCATCATCTAATCAAATAACCTACTTTTTCTGCACAAAAAATAGAAAAGAATGTCAAAATCACGTCCGCATTTAATTATCGATACAAATACAGAACCTTTTACGTTGCCACCTAATATACACCCAGCATTAGCAGAAATAAATATAAAAGATTGGTCCTACAAGCATTTTGTGCTGCAAGTAATTTTGTTGAAAATTCCTGTGAACTCTGTAAGCGACGTAGAACAAGCATGGATTGATTCGTTAAATTTGTTCGCATCGAGAAAAGATATAGATAGAAAATATAAATGCTTCGCCAAAAAATTGATTGATTATCAGGTATTATAATTTAGATAAGTGTTCAACTCAAAGTGTATGATTTAAGTTTTTTTACTGAATACTTTTCTTAGACTTTCGAAAAACTAGATTCTGGTACAGAATTTGTTTTAAGTCGCTATATTAACTCACAAATGCAATTAAAAATTGGATCTACTATTAATGATCTTTACCATGTATGTGATTATGAAGTGATCATTTAATAAATTTATCAATGTTCATTACTAATACCTTTGGATTACCTTTAGCAAACAGAGCAGCGATCTAGAGAAGCATTTATTTCAAATAAAGTCTCAAGTTGTTTAGATAATGATGTAAATAGTAATGTAAGTCAATTTCTGCAAATGTTTTGAGTTAATCATTTCGATTACATATTTGTATTGTTTATTTCTTATTTAGAATTCAATAATGCAAATTACATCTTCAGTGCCTCAACTCACAGAAACAGGAATAAAAGTAATTATATTATAGTTGGTAACATTAACTCTGATGCCTTATTTGGTATACTTATGTTTATTTTCGATAAAAAGGACGGAAAAAGAAAACAACCTTGTGAAGATATCGAAGAATTACAAGAAGAGGATGTAAATTACTTATTTGAAGAAGGGAACGAAAGAAATATCATTTCAAAAATTGATGATAAAACACTGAATGATGAAGTAATGTTAAATATTGATGCTACGGAAAAGCCTCCTTATACCAGTGAAGAAATAAAAGGTAGCTTCTATTCGTACAGGTCAAAAATCCCTAAGACAAAAAGAATAGTCACATAAGTTTTGCAATAATTTTTACATGACATTAGCCTGATTACTTAATATATTGCTTATATATTTATAGGCCTGCATATTGGGGGATTTTTGACCTAACAAAAGAATCACTTTGTAATTGTAAAGAAATTGATGATGACATGTTAAAACATTTGTCAAAAGAATTGTCAAATGCAATTCAATGGAAGCCGGAGCCACCTCCACTAAGGTTTCTGGTCGAAACTGCTTCTATTAGTAGCCGAAATTGCCCAAATACTTTGGGCAAAAATTATTTTTTTATAAGCCCAAACTACTTTTTGTTATTAGCCGAAATTGGGCGAAATTATTTTAAAGTTGTTTAAGTTAAAACAAGTTGATTCATATAGTTTTTTAATGTTCATGCTTATAGAAAATGTTGAGAAGCCCAAATTACCCAAACTAGTTTGGGCTTTGAGAAAACAGTTTGGACCAGAAACCTTAACCTCCACCAAATATTCAGGAATACTTTAACAGCAACTGTAGTACTAATTTAAGTAATGAAAATAAAAAATTTAACACTAACATTCAATATATGTAAGTATCAATGGTTTAATGTTAATTCATCTACAAAAATTCTAGGATAATTTATTTTTATTTTCATATCCAGAATTGCAAACATTGATGTTTTTAAAAGAAGTGTGACTGAAGAAGTTCTCAAAATGACAACAATGTATCCTTTTTACCGTGCCGTTATCAATAGTAATTTTTTAATAGATAGATGGTAAGTTACTTTGCATCAAATTTTATGTAAAAAAAAAAATATTAAATATATTGAACATTTGTCTTTTATTTGTAGGGGCGAAATTCAATCATATTCAACAAAAGAAGCACAAAATGAAGATGCTAACCCATTCCAAAGAGCTAGAATTGGCAGAAAAGTAGATATGATTGGCAACCTTAAAGAGACGTCATTCAAGGTTGAAGCTTTATTCGGGGAAGTTTCTGGTGGATTGGGTTCTTTTGGTCTTCCTGCTGCAATGAGAAAAAAACGTTTTTTCGACAAAATAAAATTATCTGTAATGTTGAGAGATTCTCTTAACTCAATAATTAAAAAATGGCGAAATCTCAATGATGATCTGAGAAAATCCGTGGTATTATATGGTTGGACTCAACATGGTATGTTTATTTTAAAGGCACTTATCACTTTTATTGATAACTTATGTAATTGTTCTTAATACAGGACTTGAAATAAATGTTTACGCTTTAAAATGGGAGGGTAATGGCATCTATCTATTTGGGTTGGTCGATAAAGGCACACTACCATCTTCTGAGAATGAATGCGGACTTTTTGAAGATTTATATTGCATTTTTAAAGAATTAGAAGTATGTACACTTATTCTGTCATTATTAATTAACAATTTATAAATGCATAACCAATTCAATTTTTTGTAGAGAAAATTAAAGAAAACTGAAGAAAATATCAAAGCTTTGAATTTACTAAATGTAAGAAGTAAAAGGAGGAATTTAAGTGTAGACACCACACCTGAACTCAACTTAAATAGAACACCAGAAAAACTTTAATTTCTGTTATTATAGCATTATTATTCTTGGCAGTTTATTGTCATAATATTCAATTAGTAATCTTTTTGCGCATATGATAATTATGCTCTATACAGAAATAAATTTATTGGTGTTACTAACACTACCGACCATTACTAAAATTGTCCCTTAATGTGATATAAATGTTTAATTTTCAGTTATAAAATGTTAGATTGTTATTTGATTAAAAGTTAGAATTATAGATGCCACCCAAATTAAAAATCATGATTCCCGAATCTCAGAAGATTCTCATTCACGCTCATTTATGAGGGATCGTAAATCCAAATTATCATTTTCAGGCGCTCATTCAATGAGTCATACTGATAAGTTCGGTTTTATTAAGATATTAATTTATTGTTAACCAATTTTGCATCGTTATAAAGCGAAAATCGGTTTATAGTGGTTCGGCTTATCGAGGGATGACTGTGTATAGCTTTCGGGGGCCCTAAAAAAGATATAATTGTTATTATAAAGTAGCATGTCTTCAGGAAAAGTTAAAGAAATAATATTTTTGGGTACGGGATCTTCCTCGACTGCTCCAGCTATTGTTTGTTTGACGGAACCAGAAATTAATTGTACAACTTGTTTATCAACTCTTAAGCCAGAAGGTGCGATTAACATTAGAAAAAACACAAGTTTATTGATTAGATTTCATCATGGGGACGGAGGAATTAGGTATTATTTTTTTTTTAGATATTATTTATATATATATATATATTATATTCACATACCAGTACATTATTTATAGAAATATTATAATAGATTGTGGCAAAACATTTTATGGTAAAATTTAACAAAAAAAAGTTATGATTTAATATTAATTAATTAATTACCATCTTTTTATTTATAAATTTGTTTTTCTCTTTCTCTTTTCTCAGAGTCAGCAATAAAATTTTGGCCAATTTTCAAACTACGTAGAATAGATGCAGTAGTATTAACACATCCACATGCAGATGCTATTAATGGATTGGATGATTTACGTTCTTGGACACTAAACAAAGCAATACAAGAATATATTCCTATCTATCTAACAGAAAATACATTTGAAAACATCAAAAGCTCTTTCCCATATCTTGTTGATAAAAAAAAATCAACTGGTAAAAAAATTTATAATTATAATAATTTTGTACATTGTCTTTACTAGTAATGTGTATGATAATGCTAATTAATTAGGTGGGGGTGATTTACCATCTTTTCAATGGAACATAATTGATTCACATACAAATTTTACAGTTGAAGGGTTGGAATTTACACCACTTCAAGGTATTTAATAATAATCAGTTGATTAAAAATTTATTTATACTATAATTCCTACTAATTAACATCTTTCTTTATAAATAATAGTTCATCATGGTACTTATTTTGATACACAAAAACCATATTTTAGTTTAGGTTTTAGATTTGAGAACATATCATATATTTCAGATTGTAATTTTATTCCAGAGGATACTTTTATAAAATTACATGGAAGTGAACTGATTGTTCTTGACTCACTAAGTCGTGTGTATATTATATTTATTATTTTATCTGTATTATATTTGTGTTATTAACAAGAGAAATATTTTATTTTGCTTTGAGGAATAATAGGCGAATCGCACAAATCACATTTTTCAGTATATGAAGCTGTAGATGTGGTAAGAAAACTTAACCCAATACCAAAAAAAGCATTTATTGTTGGTCTTTCTCATACTATAGAATACTATGATTTAGTCAGAGAAATGAAAGAATTGCAAGAGAAAGAACCAGATTTGTATGTCAGGCCTGCTCATGATGGGTTAAATATCAAGATTGAAGAATTATCAGCATGATAAAATCAATATTTATTGATTTATTATTATTTAATTCTCATAATCATATATAGAAAACCTTTCATAATCATCATCATTATATTAATCATTGAAGTATTTTAATAAATATTAACTAATTAATTTTGTCTGATGAAAATCCATGACTGTAATAAAATTCTTTTTTTTGGATTTTTTGAAGTTAGAGGAGAGGAAAGAAGCATTATTGTTTGAAAAATTGCAACTTTTTATAACTTACTCTTCAATCCTCAACTAAACTTCTTGCATTGGCATCCAAACTTGGCTTTGTAGGTTCATTAAAGATTCAACACAAACATTATTTTTTTAATATGTATTTTATTTTATACACAGAAAGGTTCTTTTTATGAAATACAGTCAGACCTTCATAAATGTACACTATGTCTTCGGGACTTAGGGATAAATGTACATCCTCCATACTCTGCACCAAGGCTGGAAATAGTACTTTAAAAATCCGGATATTTTTCCTTTTTGTACAGATTTTCCATTCGCATAAAATACTCCAATGTTTTAGAAAAGAACAGCCAGAATCATAACTTGTATCTTTTTTGAATTTTTAGAAGAAAAGTATTGACTCAATTTAAATCTTATTTCAAAAAGACTGCTATTAAATTATTAAATTTAAAATATATGTATTTGTTTCCCTTCAAAAATAAATTATAAATAAATAGATAATTTACTGAAAATTGAGATGAAGCATTTATTTATAGATGAAACAAATATTGATTAATCAGATATAAAATGTTCAGACGATTTGACAATTCAAGGTTCAGATGATGATGATACTTCAAAAAAATTAAATAAAATAGTGGATTAAGTGTAAACCATGTTTGAAATGTCAAATAAAAAAAATCAGAAGGAGGTTTTCAGCATGAATGGTTAAACATATAAAATGGTTTAAAATATGATGCAGTGATGAAGAGAATGCTATGCACAATTTGTAAAGCCACATAGAAAAAAAAACAATTTGCAGAAAAATGTGATAAATAAATATAATTAATTTTGCATTTTGCAATTATTAATTTACTTATGTTATAATGTTAATATTTAGGATCAAAGAATATTCCAAAATCTACTGGTCTAGCAACTCATGCACTTCAAACCAACATAAAGATGCTTTGTTTCTAGAAAAGACAAGAATAACCTTGCAAGATTCTTCCATAAAGGCCATTAATAATGGTAATTAATATAATGAAAATGATTTACTGGATGGCATAGAAAATGTTCCAATTTTCAAACTTCCAAGTCTTATTATATCTTAAAACTTATGGAATAATGTACTCAATTCTATTTTCTAGTGTAGATTGTGAAAGAGATTTTAGCAAACAGAATATTATCAAAACAGATTTATGTAACGCAATGGAAAATGACACATTTGCATTTATTTGGTTATGATTTTAGTAATGCTTTTAGTAAATTTCTTTAAAGTAAAAACAGAAGAATAAAATAAAGAAAATTCTTAAATTTGAAAAAAATTTTACCACCTGAAAAATCGAAGTTTCAGACCCCTTATTCGTGTCACACTCATTACAAAAAAAATTTTAGTTTTTTCACGCACATACATACACATTGCTCATTGTTATGCATCTTCCATCTATTATCAAAGAACCGGCAATACACTTGATCGGTGATAAATGTTATACATCGTTGGTAGAAAATATAAATATTAGAGATTTAGAATGTATTAAATTGTTGATATCCAAGGGACTAGGAATTGGTATCGTTTTGTTTGGATCGTTGATAAAAATACCACAAATCATTAAAATTACAACTGCAGGATCTGTTAAAGGACTAAGTTTTGAAAGTATTGCGTTAGAAACTATTGGTTATGCAATAGGATTAGCCTATAATAATAGACAAGGGAATCCGTTTAGTACATATGGTGAAAATTTGTCATTAACAATACAAGATATTTTCATATTACTCTTGATTCTTAATTATACTGGTCGCATAAAGGAACTTTTCATAACTGGTACAATCATTATGGTATTATCTTATTCACTTGGTTCATCATGGATAATCAACGACACCATTCTAGCGTTTCTACAATCACTCACCATTCCCATCTCCTTGGCCTCAAAAATTCCTCAAATTATCAAAAATCATAGAAATAAAAGTACCGGGCAATTGTCTGCTTTGGCAACATTTGGTTACACCTTAGGTGCTCTGGCAAGAGTTTTCACCACAATGACAGAAGTTGACGATGTTATAATTTTGACTGGATTCACTTTGGCTAGTATTTTCAATTTGATATTAACTATACAAATGATAATTTATTGGGATTCAGATAATAGTTTATTAACAAAACGAGATTAAAGATGGAATCCTTTTACTTATAAATATTATTTTACTTATTATCGTTTTTATATAATATCTAGTACAATACAATATAATATATATAACTTTCAAAATATAATCATCTATATACCATAGATATATATAATGTACTTTTTTTCCTGTCCCCCAAACCTTTAACCAATCTTACTACTACTACTACTATTATTATATTTCTTATTTCTTACACACATTAGTGAATAGTATTATCATCAAGATGTTATTTAGATGATTTTTTGTTTTTGATCTAAAATTAAAAAATAATCACAATAATTAATAGAAAAATATGTAAATAATAATAAGATTATTATTGTTGAAATGATTACCTATTAATTACGACACTATATAAGATAGACCAGTGGGATTCTTGAAAATGATAATAATAGGTTTTTGGTCCATCTAAGATGATGACGATGATAATTTTTATTATTAATAATTTTATTTTAAATTAATTAGAGAAATAAATTCTTTTAACTTACGAGAACAATAAATATTGTTCATTAAAAATTTCCTCTCGGAACACCAAGGTAATTTATCTATATTATAAATAAATATTGTATGTATTGATAGATGATCATGATATTGAAAGTTTTTTCTCCTAATAATAATATAATAATAATAAATAATTTGAATTTTTTTATAAAATTAACAATGAGAAATTATTTTAACAAATCATCAAATCCTAAAAATAATAGTAGTGATGATTTGAACTAATTAATTGTATTATTATATTCATGTATCTCATCCATGTATTTTTATAAAAGTAGAAGAAAAAGAAGAATGAGATTGTTTTAACAAAAAAAATTATTTTTTGTTTTATTTCAATTAAATTAAATTAAATTAAATTATAATAAAAAATGCAACAAAAAAATTTTTATATACTTGCTAATTAAAAAAAAACCCCCAAAGATTTACAAAAAAAAAATTTTTAAATTGCTAAATTACAGAAAAATGCGTTGAAGGTTTTCTATATCGGTAAAATTTTATGTATGAATGTATAAGTCTTTTTTAAGATGATGATTAATTAATCGGATTATTTATTATCTATACTAATTATAATTTGTAAAGTTACGAGCAAAAGATGAAAGTGAAAGGTTAGGGGAAGCATTTTGAAGAATATGATGATTTGTTGTTGATGCCACCGATTTCATGACTGTCGAATCCCTCATTAAAATATAAGTACCATCACGCCAACCCACCGTATTGCCAATCACAGAATAGAAGTAGAGTGGTAAAGCTGTCACTTCACGTATCGTCCATGCCAATATGAAACCACGTAGACTCTCAAGCTTCCTTCTTCTAAGAGACTGAAACAATTTCAAATCAATCATAAACCACATCAACAAATGGAACACAAGAAAATTAACCGGATGAATATTCCATAAAAGGTTAAATCCGTAGGATGAGCATAAACCACATACAATTGATTCTGTGAATGGTTCTACAATGGTGGCACTGGTAACGGTGTATTTTCTGATACGTATCCAACGTGATCTGCGAAGGAAATAATCAGTAGAAGACATAGAACCAAGTGGTTGATAGGCCAAATCACTGGTCATCACGTGTTTGTAACCTTTACGCCAAATTTCTCTAGCAAGCAGATTATCCTCAGCCATATATCTACCAAAATGAGCTAAACCGCCAACATTCTCTATATCCTTTTTACGATATAGATTTGACTTACCAACAATGCAACTGTCAGGACCAAGTGCATTAATAGCTAAATACATTTTTGCATGAACAGTATCCATAAACATCATTTCTAATTCAGAACCAAAAGTGTCAGGCCGTACAGCAAATGGCAAATGATGAACAAGGCCAACATTTGGTTGACACAATTGCTCCACAGATCTTCCAAGACAACCAGGGTCAACATAAACATTCGAATCTAAGATCCAAATTATATCATGCTGAACAGATTCATATGAACGGATCATATTATTAATTTTTGGATTTACTCCGACATCTCCTTCCCCTATTAGATTAAATAATAATTATATATATATGTATATCTACATCTATATATATTATTGAATAATAATAATATCTTACCAACCTATAATTAATTTTGCATTTACTTGTGGAAAATTATTCATTAATTTTCGTACAACTTCTATGGAAGGATCATTTTCAGTAGCTACTGAAAAGAGTATTTCGAAATTCGAATAATCTTGTAGAAACGTTGATAATAAGTTATCATATAAATTGCAATCTATGCCTTTAAGCGGCCTTATTATTGAAACACCAGGTGCTTTATCAACAGGTAATGACGAATATATTGACTTTTCAAGTTTACGATATCTTGTACGCCTATAATAAATTAAAATTATATTTTAAGATATATTTATTTAATATATATATAAATGGAAATAGATTGTTGATAACATACGCTACAATAAAACCCAAAGTTGACATGGAAATCATTATGAACCATAAAGTAAACGATAATATCATGAGAATTAATTGTGTCCTTGATAATGACTCCCATACTGAAATATGATAACTTATTATAATCTGTTGACTGTCTATATATGTTTGCATAATAAATTTATGAAAAGCTTCAGTTGGTATTGGACGAAGAAAATAATCAGTATTCATCTATATTATTACTATTATTGTTATTGTTATTATTACTGCCACTACTACTAATACTATTATTATGATTATTATATTATTATTAGTTTTAAATATTTTATGGTTAAAAATATTAATTAATAACAGCTAATCAATCTACCAAAAATATTGTAAAGATTAGATTTATAAAAGTCTTCTAATTTTTTTGTTTGTTTCTCTTTCTTATAATAATGTCTCTAATGTTGTTGTTACGGTAGTAGTGATGGGAATTTGTTGTATAAAAATTGTTCTTGTTGCTGATTTAGCTTTTGAAAGAAAAAAAAAGAACCAAAAAAAATTTACAAAATTATTTACAAAAAAAAATTTTAATAATATATATGTATATATATATATATATCGAGGAATTGAAAATTCTTTGAACTGTAAAGAGTAATTTCACGAGATTAACATACTAAAATAAAGCAAGACGAACAAAATATTATTTGTTATAAAAAACAAAATAAAAAAAAAAATAAAATTATATTTATATAATTTTTTTGTGAAATGAGTGATCAGTTGTACAAGTTCCAGAAAAAAAAATTTGTCAACAGGGCCGAGAAGAAACACAATTAAAAGATCAATATTAATGTTAATATTAATTAATATTAGCATTAATATTAAAAAATATTTTCGATAATCTTTTAATGACTATATATATGGCGTTTGTTTTATATGAAAAAACGACATTGTTTTTTATATTTCGAACATCCTTTTTTTGGGCTTTTTATTACGTAATTTTGTAATACAACATAAAGTTTCAAGTTACACGATATTTATTGATTATAAATGATCATGTTCATATTTAGAATTGCATTCAGGATGAATTAATCGAAAACTCGGATTTAAGAATTTGTAAATAGATACCTATCTATGATCTCCAATTTGATCACCTGACTTTAAATTAAACATTTATATGGAGCATGCTGCAACAAACCCAGACAAAGGGAACATTAGTATTACCAATGATTTCAGGAATCAAAATTTAGTCATTTGTAATGTGATCATAATTAACAGTTTTATAATATCCCATTTGTTATCTTAAGTGATATAT